CTGGGTGGCAACTTAGCGTTTTTGAAGGTTGCAGCGATTTCAGATCTTGCTACGTCTGCAGAGATGTGACTCAAGCCCTTGAGTGCAACGTCGACATGGGCAATGATATCATTAACCGGTAAGTGTCTCGGTGTGACAGCAAAGTTTAGACCTTTAGCTAAAACGGATTTCAGACCATCAGAAATGGAACTGTTACTGCGATTAATTACGACTTTGTTGACGTCTATCTTTTCGGTGTGTGGATCCGATTTTTTGCTGGAGAGGTGATTGAATTTGGAAATCAAATTGTCCCTACATTTGTTCGATATAGTGGCAGCCGAAGAGGTAGTCATATTGTCTACATGTTCCCAATCCGATGTAGACATTGTTGCTGTCAATTTTAAGTGTGATTTGTAGAGTGTCTTGTCTAACTGATCGAGTTCGGTGCGTGTAAGTCTGATTTTTTCCGAGATAAGAGCGAAGCTAGTTCTAGCTAGAATTCGTTTTGCATTGAGAGAAGTTGCAACAGCAGAGGTTAGTGTAAATGCGGTTGGTATTACCTTAGAGTCGCGGCATCTCTTCAGAAAGGTGAGAGACTCGATTAGTTGAGCCTTCTTATCCCGAAGTCTGTTGAATGATCTTAAGGATGTGTGGAATCCCTCCCCGTAGAGGCGGTTAAATTTCGATTTAAAGCTTTCGTGACTGCAATGATTCATCTTCTTTGGTTCTTTCGGTAAAGTCACGTAGAATGAGAATAAAATAATAAATTGATAAAATAAAATAACACAATAATATTCTCACGACGTTTCGGCCACAACACAAGCGGCCTTCATCAGGTGAAGGGGGCGAGACTGTCTGGTAGGACAGCGCTGGAGTGAGAGAGCCATGTTCAGATCACGGCTTTTAAGCTGTGTGAGAGGAACAAAGAGCCTTGACAAAGGAATTAGCATAAAATTTAGCATTGAAATGGCTGAATGATTAGCTTGTGACTGGTCACAGAAATAGCTATGTTAAAAGTTAAAGCATACACATCCGCAGAGGCACCCATTGTTAAAAGAAATTAGCATAGAATTTAGCATTGAAATAGCTAAGGTAAGGCATACACATCCGCAGAGGCACCCCTTGACAATGGAATTAGCATAGAATTTAGCATTGAAATAGCTGAGTGATTCGCTTGTAACTGCTGAACGTGGCTCTCTCACTCCAGCGCTGTCCTACCAGACAGTCTCGCCCCCTTCACCTGATGAAGGCCGCTTGTGTTGTGGCCGAAACGTCGTGAGAATATTATTGTGTTATTTTATTTTATCAATTTATTATTTTATTCTCATTCTACGTGACTTTACCGAAAGAACCAAAGAAGATGAATCATTGCAGTCACGAAAGCTTTAAATCGAAATTTAACCGCCTCTACGGGGAGGGATTCCACACATCCTTAAGATCATTCAACAGACTTCGGGATAAGAAGGCTCAACTAATCGAGTCTCTCACCTTTCTGAAGAGATGCCGCGACTCTAAGGTAATACCAACCGCATTTACACTAACCTCTGCTGTTGCAACTTCTCTCAATGCAAAACGAATTCTAGCTAGAACTAGCTTCGCTCTTATCTCGGAAAAAATCAGACTTACACGCACCGAACTCGATCAGTTAGACAAGACACTCTACAAATCACACTTAAAATTGACAGCAACAATGTCTACATCGGATTGGGAACATGTAGACAATATGACTACCTCTTCGGCTGCCACTATATCGAACAAATGTAGGGACAATTTGATTTCCAAATTCAATCACCTCTCCAGCAAAAAATCGGATCCACACACCGAAAAGATAGACGTCAACAAAGTCGTAATTAATCGCAGTAACAGTTCCATTTCTGATGGTCTGAAATCCGTTTTAGCTAAAGGTCTAAACTTTGCTGTCACACCGAGACACTTACCGGTTAATGATATCATTGCCCATGTCGACGTTGCACTCAAGGGCTTGAGTCACATCTCTGCAGACGTAGCAAGATCTGAAATCGCTGCAACCTTCAAAAACGCTAAGTTGCCACCCAGCAACATCAGCAAAGACGAACGTTTTGAATTATCTCAATTAAAAAAGAGGGATGATATTGTCGTTCTCTCAGCCGACAAAGGCAATGCCACTGTCATCATGGACAAAACAGAATATAACAACAAAATTCAAGAACTACCCAACGATGGCAGCTATACAAAAATAAAAAAGAGATCCCACCAACAGCCTGGTCACCAAAACGAACAAAATTATCTCTGATTCAACAGCATTAATTGATGAGATCAAACAGTTCTCGTTGAAACCCTCTGCTGCCAGACCACCAAGATTATATGGCCTTCCAAAGATACACAAAGAAGATACACCCCTTCGTCCCATCGTCTCTACTATCAGCTCCCCCACCTACAAACTGGCACATTTTCTGGCTGATATACTGCGACCTTTCACTGGAAAAACCACCTCTGCGGTACTAAATTCTACTCACCTGGTATCGACAATCAAAGACATTTCCCTGTCCCCAAACGACCTGCTTGTCAGTTTTGATGTGGTGTCCTTGTTCACCAAAGTCCCGGTACCTGACACCATCATCGCTATCATTGAAGACCTGGTTCATCAAGGACTGCATACTGATGTACCCCCCCTGGTGAGACATTGCTTAACCAACACATACTTCACCTGGAATGGAACTTTCTACAAACAAACTGAGGGCACCACAATGGGCTCCCCCCTATCTCCGGTTGTAGCCAACGTATTCATGGAAAAATTTGAAACTGACGCCATCCAGACTGCCACTCTACGCCCGACCTTATGGAAGAGGTACGTTGATGACACCTTTGTCATCTGGCCACATGGCCAGCCTGCTCTAGACCAATTCCGCGACCACATCAATTCCATACACCCAGCCATCAGATTTACCATGGAGGTCGAAAAAGATGGCAAACTACCCTTTTTGGATGTCTTAATTAAAAGGAGACATGATGGTTCAATGAGCCACTCTGTCTACAGGAAAGCTACCCATACAGATGCTTACTTGAAACCGGATTCCCACCACCATCCATCCCAGAAGAACTCCCTCATCAAGACTCTATACCATAGAGCCCAATGAATTTCCGACCAGGAACACATTACCAGTGAACTCAAGCACGTACACCAGGCTCTCAGGGCTAATGGCTACTCCGACTACACAATCCGCAAAGCCATCACTCCAGTCATCAAGAAGGATCCTCTTGTGGAGCCACTCAAAACCATCACCTTACCCTACATTGCAGGGGTCACTAAAAAGATCTCCAAAATCCTGAATAAACACAAGATCCAGGTCCGATTCAACACAGTACACAAAATCCGTGATTTAGTTCCATCTGTAAAAGATGCTCTTCCAGACATACAGTACCCGGGCGTTTACAAACTAAAGTGCCTCTGTGGTAGTAGCTACATTGGAGAAACCAAAAGACATATCTCGGACCGCATCCGCGAACATAAAGCAGACTTGAAACACGGTAGGACGAACTCCTCTGCCGTGGCAGATCACTGTTACAATTCAGTGGGCTCACATGACATTGACTTCTCCAAGACGGAGGTTCTTTGCAAACCAACCGGCTACCATGAGAGATTCATTCATGAGGCCATTCACATATACAAGCACAGAGACAATTTCAACCGAGAAGATGGATTCAGGCTTAGTAACCACTGGAAAGATGTGTTAAATCATTTCTGTTCTTAATTAATTGTATTTTTACGATGACCTTCAGACCGCAGCTCTTTCGCCAGCATTGCCTCTTAATACCTCTCACACCACGGTTAATGGTATGGTTTACAACATGGAGTATACTAGGGCCTCGCAGCTGTCTCTCTCCCCCTCCTCTGTTCCGACCATGGACGAACTCGTCCGTCTGAACGGGGCCCGTAGCTATCCGTGGTGCGGAAATTTGAGGGTAAGAATCCACCCATTTTTTCGCCATATAGCATTGTGATATATAACGACTTATTGTTGGTAGCTTAGCTGATTGTAGAATACAGAGTTTATTGATAACATGAAGGTAATTTATATTTTAGTTTTTATTGGTTCACTATATAGTACTGTGAATAGCTCAGATGTGTAGTCATTTCTGTGACCAGTCACTAGCAAATCACTCAGTTATTTCAATGCTAAATTCGCCTAGTTATTTCAATGCTAAATTCTCCTGTTTGATTTGTACTAAGTGCCTCGGTGAATGTGTATGCTCTGACTTCAACGTAGCTATTTCTGTAGCAGTTACAAGCGAATCACTCAGCTATTTCAATGCTAAATTCTATGCTAATTCCATTGTCAAGGGGTGCCTCTGCAGATGTGTATGCCTTACCTTAGCTATTTCAATGCTAAATTCTATGCTAATTTCTTTTAACAATGGGTGCCTCTGCGGATGTGTATGCTTTAACTTTTAACATAGCTATTTCTGTGACCAGTCACAAGCTAATCATTCAGCCATTTCAATGCTAAATTTTATGCTAATTCCTTTGTCAAGGCTCTTTGTTCCTCTCACACAGCTTAAAAGCCGTGATCTGAACGTGGCTCTCTCACTCCAGCGCTGTCCTACCAGACAGTCTCGCCCCCTTCACCTGATGAAGGCCGCTTGTGTTGTGGCCGAAACGTCGTGAGAATATTATTGTGTTATTTTATTTTATCAATTTACTATTTTATTCTCATTCTACGTGACTTTACCGAAAGAACCAAAGAAGATGAATCATTGCAGTCACGAAAGCTTTAAATCGAAATCATAAAAGGTTACTAAATATAACTTGTGCACTTATTGACATGTACAACTTTGTACAAAAAGTTACTCGTGCTAAATCTTACAAAACCCTGGGTAATTATATAGCAACTTTTTGGTGCCTACATTTTCCATGTTATATATGAAAATATATAACAAAAACAACGATTTTTTTTTTTAATAACAAACATGAATAACGCCATGAAACAGCATTAATGGCAGTCTTTGCAAAATTGAGGCATCATTTGTGCAGAAATGTCTATTGAGGTATAACAACCATTCCCATCAACTCAAACCTTGGCAGTCAAATATTCAAAGGCATCATGTTGCAAACGAGGTCACAGTGGATACAAAATCACGAAATAGCAAAGTGGCTAAACTGTGCTGGTTGCCAGAGGCTTTAGTCCAATATCAAAACAAAAGTTACCTTTGGTTTAAAGTCTTTAAACAAGACGCAAATCAAGACCGCTTGGCCTGTAAGTTCCTCGCGCTTTCCAGCCTCTTCAGTAGCTCCCGCTGTCGAATTTTCAGCTGCCGTTTCGTCTCCTCGAGTTGCTCCTCCTGACGCCGCAGGGTGCGCGAGTATTCCGTCGCTTTCTGCAGGATCTGCACCATGCCCGCCTTGTCGTTGTGCGCCAGCTCTGGGACGTGATCACGCAGCCACAGGAAGCCGTTCCTGATGTCGCGACGCCGCTGCCGCTCGAGGTGGTTGTGCGTGCGCCACCTGGCCCGGTACGACGGGGGCGGCACGGCGGCACCAGCGGGGCGCGGGTCGGGGCCGAAGCGTTTGGCGGCCGGGGGATTCTCCGGCGGGGGAGCGGCGTAGTTGTGGTGCTGGTGCACGAGCGGGATGTGGCCGCGCGATGCGTAGGCCGGGGCGGATCGCTGCTGCTGCTGCTGCTGGTTGTACTGGCGGACCGTGTTTGTGTTGTACACGGCGCGTACCGCCACGCTCTCCACGGTCACCACGTCAATCTCTCCATCTTCCTCGTCGTCGTTGTCTGCAGAAGGGAAACGTGTACACGTCAGCAACGCAACGTAGAAGAATTCAACATTATAAACCTAAACTTGCACAGGTGCACGACCTGTTGAAATGGTGCAAGGACACACGCAACATTCGTGTAAGTTAACTTGACAACTTTAAGTTTATATCCTTAGTTCTTTCGGTAAAGTCACGTTGAAGGGAAACAACAAAATAATAAAATATATATAAAACAATAAAAATTCTCACGACGTTTCGACCATAACACAAACGACCGTTTGACTTTACCGAAAGAACTAAGAATATGAATTACTGCAGTCACGAAAGCTTTAAATCAAAACTTTAAGTTTGTTGCAAACGAAGATGAACAAGCTAACACACGACCCAATAAAAAAACACAACACAAAGCACCGTGCAAGTCCGCAGGGTCCACCACGGCCGAGGTCGCCACGAGCGGGACGGAGCAGGGCCCCGCTCCGCCGACCCCCGCGCGGCCGCCCTCCCCGGGGCTCCCGCCGCCGGGACCCGGCTCCGGGGGCACGGCGCGGGAGGCCGCGGGCAGGCGCGCGGAGGGCAGAGACGCGCCGCCGGCGAGGCCCCCCAACTTCTCGGCGGCCGGCTTCTCGGTCGCCGACTTATCCGGCGTGGCTCCGGCCGAGTCCAAGCCGCTCCACATGCAGTCCCGCAGCACCACGGCTTCCGCGCCGTGGATGGGGTCCGAGAGGACGCCGGGGCCCTCGGCGTCGTCGTCGTCCGGCGAGCCGGCGGTGCCGCCGTGGCACGGGCCGCCCGAGGGCAGCAACGGCGTCGGGCGCGCCCAGTTCGGCGGCAGGGGCGGCGTGGGCAGGAGCTCGAACTTTTTCCAAATGTCCTCGCCGGGCGCCGTGGACTGGTTGAAGTCCCAGGCACAGCGGTCTTCGTCGTCGTCGTCGTAGAAGAAGAAGAAGGGCTGGCAGCGGTCGAAGTCGCGATCCCCGCCGGCAGCCATCGCGTGCGGGGCCGCGGCCGCACCCGGCGCCGAAGTTTATTGACAGCAGCAGCCCCGCGGTCGCCCTTCTGTGTCCACATGTGCCGCCACTACTTTCGTCACGCGACACGCCGGGGAGGGGGTTTGTATTACACCCTCCTTGTTGATGTGGCGCTTAAAAGTATTCAGCAGGGGGCCGGGCTCGCCTGTAAAGAAGCAACAAACAATAAAGAATGCAGCAGCGTCGTTAACAAAGCGAGCAAACATTTCACTCAATACGTCATCTCCATATATGTAAAAGGCAAAGTTGTGATTGTGTGTGTCTGTTCAAAATGTTTAGCGTACTTCCCCACATGCAACAAACTTGAAATTTGCCATGTGGGTACTTTCCAGACTGTACACCATGCAAACATTATAAAAATACACTTTATTTTTTTTTAGGGGAGCTCAATAATGCTTGTTTGTTTGCACGGCAAGTGAGCTGTGACGTCATATCTGTCACGTGACCCGCGCATGTGGAAGCTTAACGCATTGTAGCGTAGTGGTTAGCGCTACGCCGCGCTACGAACCCGGCGACTCGAGTTCGATTCCCGCTCACGGCCACCACCGGTGACGATTATTTGAACCGGTCCTGGGCCTCCGCTAGGTCGACTCAGCCTCAAACGAGTAATTGTTGTGGTGTGTGAACATCGCCACTGGGGAGACAAAGGCCGGCCGGGTGTGGTGAATCCAAGTCCCGGGCGAAGCCGGGTAGTAACAGCTACTAGTGCTGTTAATAATTCACATTTCAATTTCATTAAGTGGGTTTACAAAATAAACCACGTGCCTACGCGGTCGTGCCAGATTTTAGGAAAGTGAACAACAGTTCAAATTAATTCCAGCGTTTTACACAACTATTTTTTTTAAAAGGGGGTATTCGTTGAAAAGTCAAAAGTTGCCTCGATCGGAGGAGTGCAAGCGAGAAGGTCACAGATTGCCAAAAAATTCAGCGAGCCGCGTCTCGCACGCCGCAAATGCAGCGCAGCATTTAAAAATAAAGGACACAGTAGAGTTGGGAAACAGGGCCGCGAGAAATGGATTAATCTCACCACAACAACACTATCCTGTAATTGGCGGAGAGTTCAGTTTTTCAGTTTCATTTATATTGCTAGAGCCCTGTGAGCCATTCGGCTCTTGAATTCGGGTGCAACTTCGGTGCCACCGCCAGCGGAGCAACTCGGGCCGGCGCTACCCTCTCCTCGCACCCCCCCCCCGCCCCCCCCCCCACGAACTCACGCACGCCCCACTAAACACCCGCATGCACCCCCGTAGGGTCGCGAGGAGGGATCGCCTGGTGCGATGGGTTTTCACCCGAGGACGCCCCCAGCAGGGACGTCCCGCGGTTTCCCCGGACCAGGAGATTGGCCGAGCCCCCCAGAACCGGATTACACGGTGGCCCCACCCCCTAAAAGGGGGCGTAGAGCTTTACAGGCCGGCCGCGATGAAGCACGCGCAGCACGGGGGACGGTGCCCCAAGGCGAGCACCCTGCGGCGGTGTAAACAGTGGGGTGGGAGGGAAAAGCCCCTAGGCATATAGGAGGATTTAAGAGAAAGGATTTGATTGGACGCGCGCAGGATGACATCATGTGAGCCGGGGACTAACGGGCTTTGAGGACATAAGGGGGGGGGGGGGGAAGGAGGGCGAATTGGGTTGACGCGTTGTGCATGAAGAGGGTGTAGGCGCAGCTTTCTTGTACCAAAAAACAAGCTACGCCTTAACTTGTCGGAGCAAAAGAGTCTGACGCGTGTTTGAGGTGTCTTGAATTAAACCGCTTCTTTATTTCTCAGTTGCACAAAAACGGGCGTTTTCTAAAGTTATATCATCGCCTGTTCACGTGCTGTATCATCCCTGTCGCACGGTCAAACGACTGTATCCACTCGCTCCCCACCGGCTCTTCCCGTAGCCCCCCGTTTATGCTGTGAAAACCGGAAGTGATGTCATGGGTTCAACCAACGGAGCGTCTAACCACAGGGGGGATTTCTACACAGTTGGGGATATTCCAAATCAAAATATAACCAGACACACCTGATGACGACCGTTTGCGTTATGGTCGAAACGTCGTGAGAATTTTTATTGTTTTATATATATATTTTGTTATTTTATTGTTTCCCTTCAACATGACTTTACCGAAAGAGCTAAGAATATGAATATAACCAGTCCGTCAACAAACGTGTGACGGACGTACATCAAATGTATATACGGAAACAATAATACACTCGCTTTCTGTCTCATGGCTCTTACAGAGGGGTAAAGAGCGGTGCGACAGCGATCGGGCGCACTGCTGTGTTGTGTGGGTGACTCCGATCAGTGTGGGTACGGCGCGCGCACTTACAAATAAATAATTAAATAGATAATTAATTGATTCTGAGCGCCTGCTGCTTGTTGACACAACGGCTTAGTACAATAATTAATTAATTTCAAACAGCTGCAAGCGGGCGAGTTAACAAAATTACGTCATCTGCGTGGGTAGGACGCGTGAGTGGGTGGGAGGGCTGTGGCTTTTACACCTGATGATGATTGCTGTGGCTTTCACACCTGATGATGATTGCTGTGGTTTTCACACCTGATGATGATTGCTGTGGTTTTCACACCTGATGATGATTGCTGTGGTTTTCACACCTGATGATGATTGCTGTGGTTTTCACACCTGATGATGATTGCTGTGGTTTTCACACCTGATGATGATGATTGCTTCTTTTGTTGCAGTCGAAACGTCGTGATTTAATTGTATTGTTTTATATTTTTATTATTTTATTGTTTCCCATCTACGTGGTGGTGACTTTACCGAAAGAACAAAGAATATGAATCCCTGCAGTCACGAAAGCTTGTCATTATTATTCTTAGCTCTTTCCGTAAAGTCACGTTGAAGGGAAACAATAAAATAATAAAATATATATATAAAACAATAAAAAATTGTTTCCCTTCAACGTGACTTCACCGAAAGAGCTAAAAATATGCATTACTGCAGTCACGAAAGCTTTAAATCAGTAAAAATGTGTTGTTATTATTATATTTTGGTACTGGCAAAGGAGGTCTAATGATGGTCACTGCATCTTACGCGCTTCTGCGGCGGTCTGCAACACCCTTCCGATATTAGGAAGCAACTGGAGCTATATTCACTTTTTAAATCTAGATTGAAAACTTTATTTGGCTAGAACCGCTTTGTGTGCCGTGTTAGTTTGTTGTTGTCCTTGCCCGCCCGCTGCCCACACCTCCGATGAGCACGGTTGGCTACGTACGGTGCGAAAGTAGCAGCAGCGATCCGCCCCGGCCT